AGCTTCACGTTGTGTGGCATTTTTCATTCTTCTAAAGAAACCCTGATCTTTAGTATCAGCCCCGCCCCCCCAACATCTGTGAAAGCGATGTATATTTGCAGGCTGTTTTATTAGGACTGAATCGCCATTTTTTGCCAAAACTAAATTTTTTGTGATAAACTGCACCCAGTTGTATTTCCCATTGGTTGCTGGTAAAGACCCCAAAACACGGGTACTTATGGTAAAAATACTGCCCTGCCATTCAGTTGGATACAAATGTGTTTCACAGTTGCAACCAGAAACTTGTCGTCATTGCAATGTCAACATGAGGAATACAACATGAGGAATACGTGTCTCTTTTTGTGCTTTCCAAAACAGACCTGAGCTGCTCATTTTGGGGTATTAGCTCAAGTTGTAGCTGATGTCCACAGCTTTGGGAGTTCCACAGTTCTTGGGTGTTGGCTGATGAGACTGGGTGTTTATCATCCTAAATTAACTCCTCTTTAATTAAGCTAATTGCAGTGAGGGCTCTCCTTGCAGACCAGAGGAGCTTAGCAGCACCAGCCCCCCACTATGTTACTAGCTCCAGGAGCACATACTTAGCATCGTACCTAGACTCCTGGAGGCCTGGGAGATCTTTTAGTATCAGGCCCCCATTCACCAGTGATAATGATAATAATAAGTGGACAACGGGAAAAAAATTACCATTTTTGGGCCTCCTTTCTGTCCCAGCCCCAGACAGCCGCCCAGTTCGCCCATGCCAGTATCCAGCCCTGCACATGCTTCCTGAAGAAAGAGCTCCTTCAAATTGAAACCATGGCTTAATGTCACCTGAAGACTTCTGTGAGTGCGTGGAGTGACCTCAGGCACAAAACTCGTTATGGTGACTATGCAAATGATCGGTCTCATTCTGCTCCTGTTTGTACCCCTGCAATTCTAGCAAAATCAGAACAAGGGCCATTTTGGGTAGGTCTACACAAAGGAAAAAGCTGTGTTCATAACTCAGAATAGCTAGCCTGAGTTAACTAATTACATTTCATTAGCAATGCAGACAAGGCAATTTGGGCTTTAAGTAGGATTAGTAGTTCAAATTCAACTCAAAAGGCTTGAAATCAAGCTGCTAAACTGACCCATGCCACAATATTTTATCATCATAGCAAGGGATGTGACTAGGTAGTATTCCATAATGGATATAGCTCTCCTGGCAGAACCTTCTGACCCTTCTGGATATACAAGGGGGTTTTTGTTAGCTTGCGTCCTGGGTTTGGGGGTGAAGAGGGGAATGAAGGTGTAGTGAAACCAGAAGAAAACTCCTTCTGCCACACTGTCACATCCCCACTAAGACCATAGCTGGTAACCTTTGCAAGCCATGGGCCAGAACAACCTGCCTCTAGTGCAGTACAGGCCAGGTGGCTATGGGCT